CATTGTAATACAGCCAATGCGATTGCTGATTCCTGGAAGGATTTATGTTAAGAAACAAATCTCTGAATACAATATAATATATCTCCATAAATAATTTTGCATCCAGGGAGCATATCTTGACAAAGCTGGAAAGTTTCATACAGAAAAGTTATAAAATCAGGCATGTGATTATGAAAACATATTGTGGCCTGCAGATATATGTGCTGCATAAAGATTCTGCCACTCACGCCATGATCGACCAAAAAAAAAAAAAAAAAAACCCAGGATGCTATTAGGAAAATGGAGATGAGCTCAGAATAAAAAATTATGGATTACTGGAGCCTTGAAGTGAATGTAAATCAATCAGGATGCATTAAACATGTTTCTGCCGGAGAAAAGAACATTTTCAAGTTGAGTGGTAGGTTGCACATGGATCATAATTGGCGTGCAGGACTGTTAATGCAATTTATTGTAGACAATGGAATTAAATTTAACATTTCAAAGTGACAATCTATAGATTTTTATCCAAATTTTGGACAGGACAAATGGTGGTTAATTACGTTTGAGGGAGATAACTTCCAAAAAGCTTACATGTATAAATGAAATTTCACACAGTGATTGAACTATGCATATTCACAATGCTCTGCGTGAACCTGACAGGAATATTAATCAACTACTGTATAAGAACATGACTTTTTTTCCCTCTCTAAGTAACTCTAAAGAGAAAGTTGACTAAAAGCAGCAAAAATTACTTAACTAAGAATTGTTTTAGTGCCATTGGGTGATATGCATTAAATATGAGAACTGCAATATATGCAGATGTAAAAGGTGAGTTTGGTACAACATGCTTTCAGCATTTCAGATTTGAGTAGCTATTGAGTATGCATTTTTAAAGTAGGCATATTAAATGAAATATTAAGCATAAATGTCCTAAAAGTTTATACATGGGGTAAAACATGGGGTAAAACCCTTTTAAACACTTGACCTACGACTAATATTATGTAGGTCTATGCGGTATTTTACATACTCATTTGCATATAAAAGAATGTTCTTTATGCCCAGTGCAAAGTGGCATTTAGGTAGCAGGTCCTTTCCTCCATAACAACCGTAGATCCAGCATAGTCCGAGAACTCAATTTAATCCCAAGAGACCTGAAGCGCTTCTGCACTTTGACATTTTGTGGTTTCGTTTAATTTAGTACTCGTTTTCCTCTCCCTTTTATATTTTTTGTACCCCAAACTTTTCATTTAAGCTTGTGGAACTCATCAAAATCTGCCGTCCTGGAGAATAACATCAATCACAGTCCCCAGCTTCTCCTGCAGGGTGGAGGAAATTGCTCCAGCGTCACTCTGAGGAGAAAGCACAACTTTAAATACGTCTCTGGGTGGGTTCTGACAAGACCTACGGTTCTCATGCCAAGAGTCAGAAGCTCAAAAGTTCCACACTGTGCACACTAAACTGGATTAGAGAAAGAAACCAGAGCTTTGTTTAGGGTTACTTTACTTATTGACTCAGGAAGAACTCAACCATGACACCCTTGGTGGAGAGGAAGACATTCAATAGGCAGCAACATAAAAAACACCCTAACAACCATCAAGCGGCACAATTGCAACCACAGAGAATCTGGCATCCACTAAGAATTTCTCTAGCAACTACAAAGCTACCACTACAACAGCAGCCACCAAATAACACCCTAACAGCAAAGAACCATAACAACACTCTAGCAACTGACGAACAACGCACTAGCGACCACCCTTAACACCATAACCACCTAATTTCATATTTGCATCCACAAAGAACACTAGCACCACTTTAGCAATTTCTCAAAAAACATATTAAGCAACTAGCAACCACCCAAAACATTCAAGCAACCAACAGATACTCAATCCACAAAAAACATCATAGAAGCTCCGTTTCCATTACAGATATGCGCAAAAACTTTTGCAATATTTTATAAATGTCAATGAAAAAGCTATTGCGATAATGACAGTGTTTCCATTCACCGATGTTATGCGACTAAAACACAATTTATTTCCTCTTGCAATAAGTCACGCTGACGGATGTTGGTAGGTTCACGTATATCGCAGCCACCGCACTAGCCATTATTTTTAATTGAAGTAGACGTAGGCATGTATCTTAAGTGAAGCAGCACGGAGAGATACTTCTGGGACGCTTCTGAAACGTGCCACTGTGCAGCTTTTATAAACACAAGCATTAACTCCAACGGCCATATCGGAGTCTTAATGCACCACAGACGTGTGCAGTGTAAATAATGGGTTATCCAAGCATCAATGGCAAAGAAATCCCCTTATACTTGAGAGTGGCCACGTATGAGGTGTTTCTTGGAGATTATAGTACATTAAAGAATGATCATGTGATTTTTATGTAAGCCAGGTGACCTGTAATTGTTTCCACTGCAGTTTTGCGAAATATTCCTTTTTCGAATTGTGAGCGTAAAAACTTTTTTGCAAAATTTACGTCTTTCCATTGGAAGTGTTTTCAATTCGCACTTTCAATTTGCGCAATTTGAAGGATAATGGTAACAAAGCTATAGTAACAACTGCCTAACAACACCCTAGCAATAACAAAGCCCACCATAGCAACACTGTAGCAACAGCTAAAACACTTTACTAAGCACTTAGCAATTCCCTAGCGAACACCTAAAACACATGATCAACCGAGGGATGCTCTTCAATCCACAAATAACACCCTACAGTGCCACCTAACAATGCCCTAGCAATAACAAAGACCGCCATAGCAATACTCTAGCAAATGCTAAAAACACCTAAAAGTACCTAGCGACTACACAAAACACTCTAGCAACCACTCAGCGATGCTCTTGCAACCACGAATCTCCAAGCAACCACTTAACAATGCCATAGCAACAACAAAGACTGCCATGGAAATGCTCTAACAGCAGCCTACAGACCACCCTTAATGCTATATCCAAAATATAAAGTCGGAACACCCCAGCAACCAAGCACCACTTAAGATAGTCTTATTTTATTTAAATTTCTCATTCCAACAGTTAAATGAGAGTTGTTGTAAGAGTTGTTGTTGACTCATCTAAACTTAAGGAATTTTTAATTAAACGGTCACAGAGACAGAATTAAATTTTTATGAATGCAGCCGGCTGGTATTTCTAAAACCACAGATCTCTATTTGCATAGAATTCACAAACGCAACTCAGCAATTATCCCGCTTCAATGTGACACGAGAAAAGCTGTTGTTCCCATCCAAGTGAACAACCAAATGCTTAAATTTACATGAGGTCTGTGATTGGATAAATCCCATGACTAACACACACTTGTGACTGCTCAGAGGTGGAAATATTTGCAAACACATTTAATCATTCCTGTGATGGAGCTTGTTATAACCGGCTGTTATCTCTGAGAGGATGTTAATGAGGTCTGCAAATTATTCGGGTGATCATGACACATTGCATTTATCCAGCAAAGTCTAGTGATTTGTGAAGATGATGATAGACAGATAAGACTAGTATGTGGAGAAAAAAAATAATGAGATGAACCTCAAGGAATCCAAAGTCTTGTCTATCTCTGACAGTCTGACAGCACGTTTCAAAGGCCCTTTTTATGTTTCATATTCAAGTCTCAAAGCAATGAGCTGTTTCATCTCATTGCTGTTTTGGCATTGCGTGTCTGTTGAGTGGCCTAATTACAGTCTAATAATGCTAATTATAGTGTTGCTGCTGAAAATTATGCAATTATCTATGAGTATCATGCTATTCGCTTTCCAATCTAGACGCCTCAAAATGAGGCTTAGATGCTGTACTTAAAAGATAACTTTGAACATTTTTTGATACTCCAGAATTCCCAGAAAATCAAGGACCAAGTCACAGAGTTCGTTCCAGGGGGATTTTAAAATGTATAATTGACTTCAAGTTAAAAAGTAAAATACAGTACTTTGAAGCGATTTGGCAGAGACATCTTCTTAATTATTTACAACTTAAAGAGAGTTCAGTGTGCTTTATAAGTCGAAGGCTTCACACACTGACAAAGTGCCAACCTCCATTCCAGCTTTAAAATATTAGCACTCCAGGGATGTAACCGTGAGTATGCTACAAGCTTGAGAAATGTGTGTCAGTGATAAAACTTGTCTAACTACAACACCCTGAACAATGTCAAATACAACACCCTAGCAACCACCAAGCAGTTCTATAATAACTACCTAAAGCCACCAAACAATTCTGTTGCAACCACAGCAAACACCCTAACCACCTAGTAATTCCTAGTGACCACAAAGTACACCACAGCAACACCCAAGCAACAAACCAAAACACTCAATCAATTGTATAGCAACATCCTGGCAACCACCCTGAATTAAGCATTCATTTCATTTAAAAAAGAATGACAGAATGATCAATAGATGGACAGAACAACAGACAGATGTGTCTCACCTGGTTGCCCGTTGATGGCAACATTAACAAAAGTTCCCCGGCAACATTGCTAAAAAAAAGTTGCCCCGTGTATCATCAGCCTTAGAATGATAGAATGAAAGATAGAACGACAGAACGATAGACAGACAGAATGACAGATATAATTAACAATAGAATGATAGAATGACAGATCAATAGATACAACAATAGAATGATTTAAAATGGATGGATGCATGGATATATGGATGGATGGATGGATGAATGGACAGGACAGACAGACAGACACAGATAGAATGAAGAACAATGGACAGACAGATGAACAGATGGATTGACAGACAGACAGAGAAGACAGATATACAGTACATCTGTCATGTACTTTCATACACAAACATACACAAAAGTATCCTACAGAAATACGTGTTGGTGAACAAATCCATAAAATGCCCAGAACAATAATCATACTGGACTGTGTTATTGTACACAACGAACAAACACGGCTTTGATTCATTACATTATAATTTGGTATTCCATCTAGTGATACATACCAGACATCCTCTTATGAAAGGGCACAAAATGTCAGCACAGCTCTCAAATCCCCTCCAAGGCAAAGCTATTATCCAATACAAGAAAACAGCTCCTTAGTGGCATTTCTCTCTGAATGAGAAAAACAGCCTGGCTTTTTCTAACTTGTTTGTAAGTGTTGAGTTTAATAATGTACTTCTCCACTCGATGTGGGCAGTCACAGGTAACTGTGTGTGAGGACTAGGACAGTCTATTTATTATCAGCTTGTCGGTACTCCCCCACAAAGCCACCCACAATAGGACCTGCAATTTCAATCTCCACGGCGTTTTCAGGCGCTGCAACTATGAAAGCAAACAAAGTGAGGGAATTTGCCAGGGAATCAATGGTAATCAGGCAGGCTGCTGCTTTCTGGGCCATTAGTGGGGCTTGCTATGAAAGCCCCGCTCTGCTCGCTCTAATGAACGATTGGGTCTGAGTGGGAAGAGTAAGCCATAATAATATGGACAGCTGCTGGAATAAACATGAAATTCATTTTCTAAGGGCCTCTGACTGAACCTCACGTAAACATGTCATTTGGAAAGCTTGACATTTCTTAGGAAGATCTTGAACTTCAGCATCCTAATATTCAAACAGAGTTAAAAAAGCCAAATTAATTCTGACCAGCCTTTTTAGATGAATGACACTGTGATAAACTAGACTCTAAAGGTTGGTTTCCAAAAATACATTATGGGGAGAGTGGTACTTAAGATTTGCCATGGCAAATGTCATTTGGAAAGCTTGACTTTGCTTAGGAAGATCTTGAACTTCAGCATCCTAATTGGCTAATCGAGTCAGAAAAAGTCAAACTAATTCTGACTAACCTTTTTAGACCGATGATTCTGATGAACTAGACTCTAGGTTGGTTTCCAAAAATATAGTATGGGAAAAGCAGTTCTTGAGATTTTTCATAGCAAATGTCATTTGGAACATGTAACATAAAAAGTCTGATTTTGCTTAGGAAGATCTTGAACTTCAGCATCCTAAAGGCAAATCGAGTCAAAAGAAAGTCACCAAACCAACTCTGATCAGCCTTTTTAGACCGATGATAACATAATGAACTATTCTGTAAGGCAGGGGTCTCCAACCCTGCTCCTGGAGAGTGACTGTCCTGCAGATTTCTGCTCCAACTCCAATCAAACACACCTGGGTAGCAGGGTAACTTGATAAATACAGGCAGGTGTGTTGGAGCAGGGTTTGAACTGAAGTCTGCAAGATGGAACTCTCCAGAAGCAGGGTTGGAGATCCCTGCTATAAGGGTTTATTTCCAAAAATACATTATGGGGAGAGCGGTTCTTGAGATTTGTCATGGCAGATGTCATTTGGAAAGCTTGACTTTGCTTAGGAAGATCTTAAACTTCAGCATCCTAATAGGCAAACTGAGTCAAAAGAAAGTCACCAAACCAGTTCCTACCAGGACTAGACTCTAAGGGTTGGTTTCCAAAAATACAGTATGGGAGCAGATCTTGACATCTTCCACTGCAAAGGTCATTTGGAACATGTGCCTTGGAAAGTTTGACTTTGCTTAAGAGGATCTTAAGCTTCAGCATAGTAAGAATCTAAGGAACTAGACTTGCTGTTAGACTCTAAAGGTTGTTTTCCAAAAATACATTATGGGGAGAACGCTTCTTGAGATTTGACATGGTACTGTAAATGTTATTTGGAAAGCTTGACTTTGCTTAGGAAGATCTTGGACTTCTGTATCCCAACGGACGAACAGAGTTAAAAATAAAATAAATTTAAAAAAGCCTTTTTAGACTGATGAACTAGATTCTAATTTGCCATGGTAAATGTCATTTGGAAGGCTTGACTTAGGAAGATCTTGAACTTCAGTTAAGTACCCTAAAAAATCTAATAAAAAGTCACTGAACTTATTATCAACCAGCCTTTTTAGACACCGTGATCAACTAGACTCTAAGAGTTGATTTCCAAAAATACAGAATGGGTAGAGTGGTTCTTGAGATTTGCTAAGGCTATGTCTACTTAAATCTTTAAAGTGAAGTGTTATTTCTTAGAAAGTCTCCACGAAAAGTGATATATTCTTGCCTGATCTGATATCTCAGACAACCAGAACTATCTACAGGAGATCAGGTTTTTGTATTTTTATTTTTTGTAAAGGAATCAGTCCCTGCTTCAGCGATTTGGTGATACGTATGCTTTCCCCCAACGGATTATTAGAAAATAGCAAAGCATGAAAGTGCTGAAAAATGAGACCAGTTCTCCTTTATTTCATAGTCAAAAGCGGCACCAGGCTTTCTCCCATGCCTTTTGAAATAGAAAATCAAAAAGCATACAGTGTGTTCCACTGTGGCTTGACAAGCATGCCAAAGAATTGACAAGCATAATATTAGCTACACAAACAGTACAGAAATGAACATTGTAAATAATGAATGAAGTGAAGGACATAAAACTGAAAGAACAGACAGGAGTGATACTTGCTTCAAATAACACAATCGAATAACTATCCAATGAACGTATAAAACCAGATTCCACAGGTGAATTTAACTACAGCATAGTTACAGCTCTTAATGCATGTCCTTGCACTAAAACACACTGAATTATTATTCTACATGACTACGACAAAAACTTTGAGGCTTATGCTTTCTTCTCTTCAATATTAGAAAAAGGAATGTATTGTGAACTTTTGAAGAACCAAGATTCCTTCCATTGATGGAAAATTAATCAATTCTTTAGCCTTTTCTATCCTCCAATCACACTATGGCCCGGCTGAAGGATTGAGGTCAGTGCCATCATATTCCAGCTGAACCACTCTCTCTATCGGTGTTGACCTTTTACAGATATTCGAGTCAAGCTTAATACACTGAAACAACCATGACTGACGTGCTCAAAGATGAACACATCTACCTGGAAAATGAGGTTAACTGTAGCTGAGCAAGAGAATATGCATTAGAATGGACTTTTTTTCAAATGCTGTTCAAATACTTTCTTTTTTCTTACTCTAGACCAGCGATTCGTAAGCTAGGGAGCTTGAGCAGGTGTTAACACTCATGTTGTTCCAAACCTGTATGAATGTCTCTCATCTGTGGAACACAGTGGGTTTATGTACGTATATATTGCCCATTTCTTCTGTTATACTGACAGTGAATGAGGCTGTCAAGGTTCTAAAATGACACAGCAGGTTAATAGCATGCTGAAGTGGATGATTATTAGTGAACAGCTTATATTTCAGTCTGTTCCATCCTCACCCAAAGCTTCAGAAGATGTATATAAAGTGCACAAGTTATATGAACCACTTTTATAGTGATTTTGTCCTTTTTAAAGCTTGAAATCGTCAGTTCCATTCATTCTGTCTGTATAAAAAGAGTGACAACCAATATTCACAATCCTGCTTTTGTGATCTAACTCACACAGGTTTAGTGACATGAAGGTGCGTAAATGTCAGACTTTTCATTTCTTGACTTTCTTTAACACTTTATAGACTATTTTATACAGATAAGGCAGAGAACTACATCTGGGCCTCGGAATATAATAAATGCATTTCACTAGTAGAGACCGGATCCTTACAGCGCATTTGGAGGATGGAAAGGAAAGACAGAGCGAATCATGGGCTATACATCTTCACAAACCGAATATTAATGATGCTTAGAACCCTCAAGCTTTTAATGATGATTCATGAATTTAATACACCACCACGCATTTCTAAAGCCACTGGGACTGAAAGAAAGGAAAAGGCGATGTGTTATTATGATACCTTCTACAAAGCATTGTTCTTCATCTCACAAACCCTTGCTGAATGCAAATTGCACTTTGAAAGAAAGATCAACCAAAGCCAGGACAGTACACATCTGAAATACCAAGAAGGACCTACAAAGAAAGGACACAAGTAATACAAGCTTGGAGAGATTTAATCATCAATGTTGCTGTGTTTTATGATCCCAACTGTGATACATAAACCACCTTTCAAACGTTTGGGGTTTGTAAGATTTTTTTTTTATGTTTTTTTTTTTTAAAGTCTCTTTTACTTAGGGGAAAAACGCTATATAAACATGCTTTTTTTATTTGTTTCCAATCTAAAAGAACTGTTTTCTATTTTAATAAATTTTTAATATATATTCTTCAACAGTCTTCTGTGTCACATGACCCTTCGGAAATCACTCTAATATGCTGAATTTGCTTACAAAATATTTCCTATTATTATCAATGTAGAAAACGTTTGTGCTATTTAATATTCTGAAGAACCTCCAATACAACTGGATTGTGAAATATTAATTTATTGAACACGAACCTGGAGCGATTGCCTGCTTCATAGCCAATCAAACAATTTGCCAGAGGCCGCTGGTTAATTACACCTACAGGGAACACCAGCACAATTTAGCAATCTGCATTGACAATGCACATTTAGCTGGGAAAAATCATTCACGAACCCCTGACTAACACAGAAGCAAGGAATTCAAGATTCTCATCTCTAAGAAAATTTATTTAGAAGTGTGTGTCGTGTCCCGTGGTGCAGTAACGCCTCCGAGCGCTTCTTTCCATGAATCCCTTTCTTTTCACAGTCAATACCAAATGCAGACTCCGTTTTGAAGGAACATCAAGCATAATTTCGCTTCATGGGGATGTGCTGTCAAGAGAAGAAAAGAGTCATCACAAATCCTTCTGGACTAAAAAAAAATATAGAGATTATACTGTGACAGAGCAATTCTAGACAGATTCTTCCAAAACATATGTAGCATTTATGGGCCATAATCAAAATTATATGTACTTTTATGTTTTTATATATATATAAATGTATATTTTTGCAAGAGGTACAGAAATACACACACCTCGGCTTCATTTTGTCAGACATGCAATGAATGGCACCATGCAAGATCATTACAGACAGAATCCATCAAAGTACATCACAAGGCGTCTTGTTGAGAACAGCATGTTCAAAGCCGAACGCAATGATGCCATTGTTCCATACGGCATTACGCTCATGTCAAAACTCTGAGCTGAAAATACAGCACAACCTGACCGTGCAATATGGAATGTTTATCACCAAGTTTCTCTACCCACAGATATAATTACACTTCATGGAGGACACTGATGTATCATTTTATTTTCAGGAGAACAGATAAGCAGAAAGGAAGGGAGTCATGGGTTGGGTAAAAGCATTCATTCTTATTGTCTGCGTTTCAGTCTGAAACACTATTTTGTGAGGTCAATCACACGACACATACTTTTCTAGTTGCATCATGCTTTGCAATTATTCTGCAGACTTGCAATTTTATATCTCATAATGTAGGCAGTGATTTCAGACAATAACAAATTATTTTGCATTATGAAATATCAGAGGCGTGCACGTACACTGGTTTCTTTTGTTCCCTTGCGTCTCCGCATCTTGTTAAGATACAATAGTCTCTCAAAGTATTTCAGTCTTCTCACTTCAGAGATTGTATACATGCACTGTAAAGGTCAAAAATGAAGCACCGTTTGGAATCGTTGTTTTATGGTTAGCATGAGAGATGTGAAACATCTGAGAGAAACACAACTCTTGTGTCCCATTTTATTCTGACATAATCTTTAGGATTGAAAGGGTTTTTCTAACATTTTCGAACATCTTTCTAAAAAAAATTTAAAAAAGGCAAAAGTCAGCAGAGACATGGCTTGGTGGGTAGAGCACACGCTCTGACATGCTCGGGTTATAACCCACTTTTCTCAATTCTTCACTTTCCTGTCATGCTAAGAGGCATAGAAAATGATCGGCGACACACTGTAAAAAGTTATGTGATTGCACAACTAAAAAAAGTTACATTTTGTGTGGCTTTTTTAAAGCTGAATTAATTGACTTAATTATTTTATGAAAAAAATGCAATCAAATGCAAAACAAAAAATAATAAGAATTGTAATGATTGCAAATGAAAAAAGATATATTTATTCTAAGCCAAAGGAATGTAATTCATACTAACTATTCACTAACCCCACTATGTGTAAACATTACTGCTGCACTTTTTTCATTGGGCCTTAGTTACTGTTTCTCCCAGAGGGCAGCTGGTAGAGAAAGAGGCTCAACCTACTAATTTACCCCTAGAGAGCACAGAGATGATGATGTTTACAGTGAGCAAGCAACATTTCATGTCAGCAAAAAGTAACACTGGGGCCATGCAGTTAAAAATGTACAATAACAAAGTTCATCTGATTTTTAACCTGTTTTGTTTAGGAATGCTCCAGGTTTGAGTTCATCTTCATCAACAGAATTTGTTGCATAATGCCGAACTGAGGGACAAATCAAAATGATTTCCTATGGCAATCAACATTAAGCCACAAACACTGCTGATTCAGAGCTCCAAACATGCATGTATTTTCTACTTCAAAACCATATATTGGAAGTCAGGATTTTTATAGTAATGTTAGTTCGAATACTAACAACAGTAAAATCACCACTGACATCACAGAGCTTTAAATTAAAATATTTAAAACAAATTAAATTTAAAATCATGGATTTCCATGTAAGAATCAATCATAATGTTACCAGGAAAATAAGAAATACATTTAAAGAATCTTACGAAACACTCTTATATCTCAAGGCTGAGCTGAAAAGATGGTTCCTGACCTGAACAAAGACTGGAAAAGTAAGTGTGCGTCATCTTCAGTTTAACAACAGCAGTATAACTGGTATAACTGTTAAAGAAAGCTATTTATCTATCCGTAAGATATGGCACAATAATTGTATTTAAATTCCTAATTAGCCATATTCACCCAGTTAAAGAAAGCCTCTGTCTTGATGTATTTTTCAGTGGTTAGTCAGCATGATGGCTTTCATACAATGCGCCAAACAATCTACTTTTGTGAGATCTGAAATTGCTTTCCCTACCTGCGGTGCCACGTTTCTTTACATGATCTGAGCCCAGCGTGCAGCCGAGGCAGAATGCAGCTGAGCTTTTATGTCAAATCTGTGCTAAAGGTTTACCTATCAATATCAATTCACAGAAAAGCGTTTGGATGAAAATTTGAAAGGCGGCGAGGAAAGACAACAAAATAGATGTCAAGTTTATGATAATTAGATTCAGAAGCCACTGCCCAAAGCATTTGCCGGGATGTTCGTCGGAACGCTCTATCATTGATGTTTGGATAGCTGACACAAAAATAAAAACTCTGTCATCATTTACTCACCCTCATGTCATTCATAAGACTACTTTATTGTGTTTTTGTCATTTTTGGAGCTTGCAGCATTTGTCCACATTCATTTTCATCGTATGGACCAGAGAACTTTGAGGGTGAGTAAATGACAGTGTATTGATCTTTAAAATGGCATGTTCATGGTTGTCCCTAATTATGGCTTGTTAATGACTCAAATTCCTTCGTTATAGAGGCTCAAATTAATCAACCCCAAAGAACAATGAACAGAACCCTTGAGAATTACAGTACAATGGTTCTTCATCTCTCAAGTCCTTCATTCTGTGCTGTTCTAATTACACTAGGTGAATAGGCAAACAAACAGCCATTGTCTCTTCATTTATATTTCAGTATGATAATCAGTGTACATGGCCATATTCCCAACAGCTCTCAGCTTTACTTCGGACACACTAATTCATAAAACACGAGATCTTAATCTCCTTACTCGACACATGGGACGACTTTGTTTTGTATTACACATACACTTGTTTAAATCACCGTGAGAGACTCTGATATTTTCTAACCCTACCCCTAAAAGACCCCTTACATTTTTAATATTGCATTTAGACATTATTTGGTAAATTAATTATCCATTCTTCTGGATACTGTTGGGTAGACCACACAATTCAGCTGATTTTACAGCTCCATTCCAAAACCTAGTGAGCTGCCAACATAGGCATCTCTGACAAATGACTGGAAGTCATTCATTTCCAATGCAAAGTAGTTCGAGAGCCGAGTATGCAGGCATTCTGGATCTACTGAAATATCTGAACCTCTGTTGCTAGACCGGATGTGATGTATTCTAATCAAACTTTGAGTGTGGGGTGAGAATAATCAGTGTTTTAGTAGAAAAATACTAATTTAAAATAATAATTTTTTAAAACACTATTATAAATAATGAAATAATTATGGCAAAAATAATTATTTTATAATCATTAAATCAGTGTTTACATTTATTAGCCCTAGAAAACATACTATGTTTTTCTTTCAGCAGTATTGGGGGTTATTTGTTTTGTGTGAATATATTTATAAATTTATTATTCATTCATTTTATCATGGTGAATCAGAATAAGGTAATGGTGCTTCCAATGTGACCATTTCGAAAGTTCTGTGTGTCTGCCGCTAGAGGGCGATACGTCGGAAATAGTGAAAAAGTGACTTACTGTAAGTCGTCATGATAACTGTCTTGGAACCTTGTAAGTGACTTTTAACTTTCTACACACAACTAATCGCTCTACACAAGAGACTTGATTCGCAGTTAATGCAAATATAGCTGGATGTTGGCATGTTGCTAAACTATCAATACTTTAAGAAAAATACAAGGGCTTCACAATATATCAAATAAAATCATCACAATATGGTTTAATGCAAATCAAGCCACTCTGAAATGCTGAAGCACCACATCATGAGCTGTATGCGTGCAAATAAACACTTCACTCTGAATGCAGCACCTCAAACGTTTATTTGTCATCAAACCACCAAATTAAAAGCTAGATGGTGTTGTTTGAGACTTTTAATTAACCTAAACCTAAAATTAAGAAATTAAGATGTCAAAATTAGTATTGTAATTTTACAGTTGTAGTATAAAATGTTTTAAATGTTTAAATATTATTGCTATATTTTTTATTTTGTTCAATATTTAATTTAATAATAATAATTTATTTAATAATATTAAAATCATATTTTATTGTCATATTGAAAAAACTAAAAACATTAAGGGAGAAAGTATTGCAATTTCTCTGGTCTAAAAAGTAATTTTTCATAATTGGTTTCACTGGACAACTTCCAAAAATGGAATCGATCCTA